TTCATATGTGGTGCTGAGAATCAACCCAGGGCCTCACACATGCTAGGCAAGCGCTCTACCACTGAGCCACAACCCCAGCCCTAGAATATTCTTTTTTGAAACATTAGTTGATGTCTTTAGAAAGACCTTTAGTGACTTGCCATTACCTTTAGAATCTTAAAAATGTAAACTGCTCCCCCAGTTGTCTGTGATCTGGCTCCTGCTGACCCATCCACCATTGTCTGTTATGTTCTCCTTGCTCTCTGCTCTGCCCCGCTGTGGCCTTCAGCGTGTCCCAGCCAAGCTCATTTCTGCCTCCAGACCTCTTCAGATCTCAACCCGGTGACCCTCCAGCCCCTTCTGGGTCACTCTTGAACCATCTGCTTACTTCCTAAGTCATCTCAAGCCGAGGTTACTTTGTGGGAAGGTCTGCAAGCTTTTGAGGGGCTCTTCCTCCCTGTTCTTCCCAGGGCCTGCACCCAGCAGTCAGTTAACATCACTTTGTACATTGTGTTTGCATGCTATCTAAGGGCTTCCAGAAGGCTCTGGGATGAGGAAAACATGCGGGGGGGGGGCAGGGGGATGGTCTTAGCATACACTGAGCTCCTCTTAGAAGAGGAGCTGTGCTTCAGTGGTTACCATGCACACAGTCGATGTGACAGAACTGTCACTTCCTAAGAGCCTGCCCATCACAGAGGACAGGGTACCTGGGGTCCCTCTCCTGTTCCCTATGCATTGTTCCAAAGCCTGCAGTGCCACCTCCCTCCCTTAATGAGTGTTCTCCTTCTCTCTCCTAGGACTGGGATCTCACCCACCAGACAGCAGCAGCCCAGGAGCCTGAGCTCAGAAGGAACTCTTATCTAGAAATTGGGAAATTTATGGAGACTCCAAACTCTGACTTCCTTCAAAACAAAAACAAGAAACAATTTTTTTTTAGCTTTGACAAACACAAAAGTGGTAATAAAGAGAGCCCTCTTTCTCAACCCAAAATGTGAGCCACCTGTGGCAACTCCCCCACCGCCCCCCCCCACCCTCATTAGCAAACCAACAGACAAAATTCTGAGTCCTTTGTGTCTTTTGATAACATGTTATTTTTTGTTTTGTAGAGTGTGTGCTTGGGGTTCCAAGGTGTGTGGGATTGAGTTCTCTGTTTTTTTTTTTAATATTATATGTAAATGTAAAAAGTTATTTAAATATATATTTTAAAGAACCCTAGCTGCCAACTTTTGCTGAAAAAAAAAAAAAATCACTGCTGCATTAAATGAACCACATCATGTGTAGATACTGTTGTCTCCCCTGAGGGAGCTCAGGCCTTTGAAAAGCTCAGGGCTACACCTGCCTTAGAAAATGAACCAGAAACTTGAAGTAAAGCTAGTTGATATGGGTACAAACTCTGAGGAACAATGCAAAGCTGCCTTTCTTTCTTGTGGCAAATCTGAACATAAAAAACGTCAGGTCCTCTCTGAAGCCACGCCTCTCCAGCCCACACCTGTAGGCAGAGAACGGAAATGGCGAGGAGTAGGCCCAGGCCATAAAATCTGCAGCACTGGAGAGCCTTTGCTATAGAAGCCCCAGGGTGAAAGGGACAATTTTGCCCAGTATCCTCAGTGTGTCCCTTTGGGTCATTATCCCAAGCAAAAAGAGTTCCCGGTCCTGGTCTTGACAGAGGTCCAGATTATAATAAGGGCAGTGTTCATGTAGTCTTGTACACGAACTCTCAGCCCTGGGGCAGGGAAGAGGAAGCTCTCCCTTCTGTGATCCTGACTTTGGAATCCTTTGGAAAAATATTTTGTGCTTCCTGCCACTGGCTGCAGAAATGGTTCAGCAGGGTGTATGGGGCAGACACCCAGGAGGAATGTAGTTTTGTGGCCTTGGTGTCCGATGGGGCTGGGAGGAGTGCTCTGCGCTCACCCAGCAGCACACTACCCTTTGGAGAAGGGATGGGCACGCTGGAGCAAGCCTGTGCGCATGCACGTTTGTGAGGGCGGCCATGCCCCTTGACTGCTGCTTCCTTGGACTGCCTTCCTGGGGGCAAGTTCTCAGACCCCTCAGGGTGTGCACTGAGCTCCATTCGAATGATGCTTTTCCTATTCCATTTCCCCCACGGAAGCACTGCTTCAGGGTTTTTCAGCCCTCTGCCTAGTGGCTGAAATTGCTCATCTCGCCTGTAAATGTCTACTACCCTGTCTACCTAATGCACTATTATGTATTGATTCTCCATGAGACAGAGAGACTATCAGATAGTTTAGACCCCAAAGGGTAGGGTTTTGTATATTTTTCCAGCCTTTTGTTTGTTTTTTTTAAAGGGGGAGGGAGAGTTTTAAGAACCCAAACTTGTTTCTTTTTCTTTTTTCTTTTTTTTTTTTAAGATGTTTCATTTTTAAAAGGGAGAGAATATTTAAAACTACTTCAGATCAGGGATTGTCATCCTTTTTGTCCAATGTAGTCCTTGTTGTCCTTTAAAAAAAAAAAAAAAAAAGCAACTAATCACATTAGCCTTCATATGAAGTAATTTCTGGTCACTTTTATTCATTTAGCAGATACTTGTTGCCATTTAAAGTTTTATCTGTTTGGTCTAAATGTTCATTGCAGAATAGGAATCTTGAGCTCTGGCCTCCTGTAGGGGAAATAGGGACCACCCTAGGTTGCAAGGAAACCCTTATTACCACTCACAGTCGGCTCACAGGAAGTCAACCCAGAGTACAGACTGGAACATTTTCAATGAGATATCTCTTTATATAATCCTTTTTTCTTTAAAACCCCAGTCTATGGTCAGGAAATGTACTTATTTCTAGCTAGGATTTGACAGTGATCCCAGCATCAAAGGATGGAGCCATTTGCCATTTAGGAACTCACTGTGGAGAGATTTGTCCTCCAGCCTCTGGGGTATGGTCCCTTGGGGGTGGCTCCCCGCAAGCTGTCCCAGCACACCTGTTGGCGAGAGTGTGAGAAGCGCCTAAGCTGTTGACATGAGATCAGGGCTGCCTTTATTTCTGGGGCCAGGAGTAGCAGCTGCTCAGGACAACAGCTTGCATTACATGGTTTAGGGAAGGGGGGTGTATGGCTTTTAACATGAACTGCAAAAAGCAGCTTCTCATTGTTGAGATTTTTGTTGTTTGTGGTTTTGCTTTCTTGTTTTTAATGCCTTTGAATGCATATTATCTTCCTTGTCTGAAACCATACCCCCAAAGCAGCTTTCTTTAGTCCTGGCTAGAAACCACTCTTCAAAAGCCTTAAGCATTAAATAGATGGAATACAGAATCTGGCTGCCACTGGATTTGTTACGTGCATCCAATTTCGTTTTGAAAGAGTGATAGCTGCAGATGACAAAAGAAGGATATTTAATTGTTGTAGTTAAAAACTTAAAATGTCAACCACCATCTTTTGAATTTGTATTGGCTCATCAGACAGGGAGGTCACCAGAATAAATTAACAACTATCTTGTGTCACCATTAAATCAAAAGAAATGTCTTCTTTGAAGCTCTAAGACTCCAATAATCGTGACAGGTACCTTTTTCCGTGGACTCTCAGTGGCATGGTTGTGGTTTAACCACGGAAACGGAGCATCCCACTTTACACTGAGAACCCCACATCCCCCGAGTCAGGGAGTGAGTGTGGTCTTATGGCCCGGCCCTGGGTGTAGGACAGCCATGTAAACTGAAGAGTTCTAGAACCAGCTGAAAATGGATGTTTGGATGTTCTGACCAATGAGGTACCTCTTTGTGGACACAGGTCCAGTAAGCTAGTTTAACTCAGCCCCTCCCCCACCCAAAGCCCCCACCATTTTCCTAAGTTCCCCCTGTTTTACTGCTCAGATCTTCCCCTATGTGCTCCTTGTCCCTACTTCACGTTCAGGCAGGGCTAATGCTTTTTTAATGAGGTCTAAAAATGAATTACCAATCAAGAGCATTGTCTTTTAAACAGAACTGCCTTTTTCTATTCTTTATATATAAATTCTATTGTGTTGGTCTAACAAGGCACTATTTTAAAAAGTTTTGTTTTAATTTCTCCCATAGCACTTAAAAGATATTTTGTAAAAACTTTGCTGTAAAGATTTTGTAATAAAATGGTCTAAGGGCTCTTTTTCCAACATTACCATTTTTTTAAAAAAATGTTTTAAAAGCTAGAAAACAACTTATGTATATTCTGTATATGTATAGCAGCACATTTCATTTATGGAAATATGTTCTCAGAATATTTATTTACTAATATATTTATCTTAAGCCATGTCTTATGTTGAGAGTGTGACATTGTTGGAATAATCATTGAAAATGACTAACACAAGGCCCTGTAAATACATGATAATTGCACACAGATTTTACATATTTGCAGACCAAAAATGATTTAAAACAAGTCATAGTTGTCTATGGTTTTGTAACAAATTGTACAAATGACTGTAAAAAAAATACAATTTTATCAAGTATGTGTTTTATATGTTGTCGTTGCTGTTTGGTTAAGGTCTTCAGAACCTACAAAGAGCTTTGCATCAGCTTTGCATCAGCTTGCCCGTGGAAGCATCCATGTGATTTCCTCTCCTGTTAACATGGAGTCCAGGTTACAGGGCATTTCTGCAATGTCACAAGTGGTCATCTGCTAGGGACTGACTGTGGGTTTATTTCCTTGAGGTGGTGGTAGACTTTCTGCTCAGGATGTGTGGAGGGAGACAAAGAGCTTAGCAGTCCACTTTTTAAAAATTTGGGACCTAAACCATTGGCTTCATATGCAGGGCTTTTCCTATGTACAAAAAAAACTCCAAACACTAGCCCTCAAAATTAAATAACAATGTGCTGGATGCAGGGTGTCGCACCTGTATCCCAGCCTGGGTAACTAAGTGAGGCCCCATCTCTTTAAAGCAACATACACAAATAAATTACCTACCCATGAGTGTAGAGGGGATTGTTTGTCTTGTTTCACAGTCACTAATTTGTAAAGCACTCTTTGAGATTATGTAGAAGGTGCAAAGTAGTGTTTATTTTTCAGACATCTAGCAGAGAATATCCTATTCCCATAGGTTCCTATTTTTATTTTTCACTCTTTAACTTGGGCCATTTCTTGGGCATAGGCTCATGGACCACCAGCCACTTCCTGCCAGACAGTGAGTGGGTCCTTCTGAGCACCTTCAAGGGTGGTGGCCTGACTGCACAGAGCTTCCCAAAGTTTTTGTTTAATGGCCTTGCCCAGCTCCAAGCTGTATCTCTTGGGGGTTCCTGAAGGATTCCACAGCATCGGCTCCACCACAGCATGGTACAGAGCCCGGTAACACTCTGTGGGGAGCCCATGGATTGTTAGCGAGTCCCCCAGCACCTGCTGTCTCATTGGGGTTTCAGGAGGCAATGCTCGGCCCTTCCAGGCTGCGGTCCCTCTGTCCCAGGGTAGTGCTTGGGTGGCGGCCACGCGTTCCACATATCTATCTTCAAGATCTTGGCAGACTGTTACTTTTTTCTCCTTTGAACTTTCTTTGCTCTAGCCAGGAAGAAAGCAGAGAAGTCAAAGCTAAAACTTGAGAAGGGAGCTCAGAATAATTATCTGGGATTTGTGTCTCAGAGTCTTGGTTACAGCAACAACCAACATTTGTCCAGCATGTTCTAGCTTACTGAACCCCTTTATATACCACTGCGTGTGTTCCCCGGAGCCCTGGAAGGTCAGCAGGAGACGGCTTTAAAGGTAGAGAAATTGGAACTGGTTTACCCAAGGCCACACAGTTGGAGGGTTAATAACCACAGCTGTCATCTATTGAACGCTATGAAGGATCCTAATTATTTACTCTGTGCCAGGCGCTATTCAAAAGCCTTTTGCATGTATTAACTCATTTAATCTTCATGAAGCCCTGTAAGGGAGAGGCCATTATCCCTCATTTTATATGATAAAATCAAGACACAAAAGAGGTTAAGCCCAAGGTTATCCTCATTATGGTCAGAGTTAGGATATGAACCCTGACAGCTGAGCTCCAAGACATGCTCTGAGCTCCACTGGCCACCAAGGATTGACCGAGCTGGCTCCCATCAGCCTCTAGCTGCCAGGTTCTCCATATGGAAGCTCACAGCTCACCTCGCACATACATGTGCCTAAGCTTGCATGACCCATATCCTGGCCTTTCTCACCCTTATTTTCCCTTCGCCTCCAAGTTCCTTTTGTCTGTGTTTATGAAGGTCCCTTCATCTTTCTTTGGAGTGAGGTGGAATACAAATAATACATACTGGGCTGGGGGTACAGCTCAGTTGGCAGAGTGCTTGCCTCACATGCACAAGGCCCTGCGTTCAATCCCCAGCACCACAAAAAATAAAATAATAATACATACTATGACCCTAGATCTAGTTCTCTGTCCACTCTGTCACGGGGCACCCTCCCTCCCCAATCCTGTCTTCAACTTTAGAATTTCCCTCTTCCCACCCATCCCACTTTCTCCACTCCTGGCCATTGTCTACCTCGCCGATGCTTCCTGCAGGACTCTGTCCTCCTCGTCCAGGTGAGCCCAGCAGCTGCCCTGCTGGCCCCTTGTTCTTGGATCTGATGGGGTTTCTTATCCTGGCCTGCTGCATGGCTTTCATTGTTGAATTGTTCCTGGGCTTTAATCTCTTCAGTGGCTTCGCTTCTCCAAACTTGGAAGGTACTGGACAGCATTTATCCTTCAATTGCCTCCGGAGCCCAAGCTTAGCCAGAGAGAACTAACTGGCAATTATTGGGTTCTTTACCACTTCCCAGCAAGAGGTGGTACCTGGTGCTGGGGTCTTGATGTTCTGCCTTGCACATGTTCTGGCCGTCCAGATGTTGGTGAGAGCTGGTGAAACCACATAGCAATCCTGAAGCCTGGTGTTCAGTAAGATGGACCGTCGGAGTCCATAGGTGGGGATGCTGGGGTCACGTCTCACATTGATTGGGTGCTAGAATTATAAGGGGGGGTGAGAAGGAATATAAAAAAAGAAGACTAATTCTCAGAGACTAGATTTATACTTTGAAGGCTAAGTATTAACATCATTCTATGGACCGTTTCTTCCACATGAATCTTAGAAATTTTGTTATATGGCTCTCTCCTGCTCACTGAAATAATCTCCTCCTCCTCCTCCTCCTCCTCCTCCTCCTCCTCCTCCTCCTCCAACTAGGGTAGAGATAGGAACTTTACAAGGTCACAACTCTTAAAGAACATAGCATGCTGGGGCAGACAGTTGGGGGTTGGGGCGGGGGAGGATTTACTATAAATAGAAGACGATTTTAGTCCTGCTAGAAAGAAAGGAATCCATGCAGGAAAGGGATGGGAGGGGGTCACTCAGGGACTGGGATGGGAGGGAATGACTCAGGACACCTATGGGAGCTGTAGTCACTTCACAACCACACCACATCACAGAATTGACAGCAGGTGAGTCCTGCCAAACCCCAAGGCACCTTTTAACCAGGCTCCCATGAGCCAAGAAAAGCTGCTCAAGAGGAAAATAAACTCTAGGGTCCATAGAGGCAAAAGCCCATGTAATTCATACTTGCCTCCATTTCCGGGGACTGGGCAAGAACAAGAAAACAATTTGGATAGGTTAGAATCACATTCTTAAAGAGCCCAGACTTTCTAAGAAATATCATCTATAAGAAAATAAAATCAGCTGGGTGCCGTGGTGCACGCCTGTAATCCCAGTGACTCAGGTGAAGGAGGAGGGTCAAAAGTTCAAGGCCAGCCTGGTAGCAAGATCCTGCCTCAAAATAAAAAAAAAATAATAAAAATAAAAAGGACTGGGGGTGTAGCTCAGCGGTAGAGCACCCCAGGGTTCAATTCCTCTGTAGCCCAAAAATAATATAAATTAATAAATAATATCACCTTACCATATTTCGGTTGCCTTAAATTTTATTTTAGCTAGCTTAGTAGGGGGAAGAAACATGTATTTTCTTTTTCTTTTTTTTCTCTTTTGTTTTTTCTTTTGTTTTGTTTTGTTTTGTTTGAATATTTCTAGTCACCTGTCTTCTGCCTCAGCCATGTGTGGGCAAATTGCTGTTTAGATTTGGGCTTAGATGTAGGCAGTTTGGAGCCATTATCTCTAGTATTTGTGATGTCACTTTGGTTTGTGATGTGGGTGTGGGTGAGTGTTACATCATCAGGTTTTATAGTTAAATTATATTGGAAGAAGTTCTATTTTGTTGTTACTCATAGCCTCAGGAACTTCTGAAGTCCTCATTCCCCCGCCCCCCCCCCCCCAGAATGGCCTGGGTGGAGAGCCTGAAGCATGCTCTGCATGAAACGTTGTCAAATACGCAGACCAGATTGGTGGATATGGGTAGTGAGATGATGTACCCTTACACGTGCAAAAGTGCCTTTCTCCGTGCACATAAAGAAGGTACTGTTAAGTTCTCAGAATAGCTGCCAACATTAGGGACCAGAAATGAAAGAACACGTTCCTGCAGCCCTGGGCACCTCTCCCTGTGTGTCTCTCCCAGGGAGACTACAGGGTTTCTGGAATGTGGTATTATTTTACATCCCATGGCAAATGCAGTAATTAGAGCTGTTAGCAGTGTCAAGGGCTTGAAAGGAGAACAAAGACGCCTCTTCCTGGGAACTCTTAGGCAATGCCTTGCTCCTTATCAGGTGTTGGCCCTGTTGGTGGTTTTCATTTTTCATACGCAAAATGCCAAAGGAGGCTCCCTCCCAAAGGGGAGGAGAGTGAAATGATGGAAAAACAGAGTATGAGCCTGGCAGGGACTCCTGGAATTGCATGTGTTGCCTGTTTGAATTTTTGAAGTGTTGTCCCTGGAGGGAATCAAAGCCTTACAGGCAGACCGCACCGTAGGCTGCGGTGGAGCCACCTCCAGGCCGACAGCATCTGGACCCACAGACACTTGGGAGGACAATGGTGCCCATTCAGTGGCGAGCCCTGGCCTCATCTCCCAAGAGGTGGGTCAGTTTTAGAGCAGGGCGTTGGAAAGGGTTTGTCTTTGGGAAGGGTTTGCGAATGTCTGAAGATTGGGCAGGCAAGCATCCTTTCAAAGCCGGGAAATCTTGAAGACGTGGCACCAGGCTCTTGGGTCTCCTGAAAATGACCATCTGCATTCAGTTGTGCCCAGCAGGGACAGAAGGCAAACATGGAGCCAAAAAGGCACAATTGGAAAAGCTTTTCTATTTCTCTTCTCTCCTGTCTTGAATCTGGCTTTTCCGCACCTCCTCCTCCTTCCCACGACTCCTTGGTCGGTCATATTTGCTTTCCTCTTACTCAATGACCAAGGGACACAGCTCTGACTCGGAGCACTTTGAACTTCCTTCTTTTTACACAGAGCTGTTCACCTACGTGGCTTCAGACACAGTGTCTTCAAATCTTGTAAGTCCCTCCTTCTGTCTATTCAGTGTAACTTCAATTGACTGTACCCAATCAGGTAGCCTTCACCTTCCTTATAACCAACCTGGGTTCTATTTCTCCTATGTTGACAAAATTCATATCTATTTAACATTTACTGAAGGCAAAGTGCTGTTCCAGGAGTGTTTCAAGTCATGAAATGCCACCAGAGTACCATGAGCATGGGTCCTCTTGCCATCCCTACATTATAGACAAAGAAATTGAGTTACTCAAGAGCCATGCCCTAGGGCTGGGGATATAGCTCAGTTGGTAGAGTGCTTGCCTTGCATATAAAAGGCCCTGGGTTCAATCCCCAGCACCACCAGAAAAAAAAAAAAAAGAAGCAAGAGCCATGCCCCAACCGGGCGTGGTGGCACATGCCTGTCATCCCAGCGGCTCAGGAGGCAGAGGCAGAAGGATCACGAGCTCAAAGCCAGCCTCAGCAACTTAGCAAGACCCTAAAGCAACTCAGTGAGATCCTGTCTCTAAATGAAATACAAAATAGGGCTGGGAATGAGGCTCAGTGGCTGAGTGCCCCTGAGTTCTACCTCCAACCACAAAAAAAAAAAAGGGCCATGCCCCAGGTCACATAACTAGTAACCAAAAAAGACTGAACTCAACCAAATTCTACACCGCCCTTCCTCTGAACCAGTCACTACCATGAGGTGTGTCCTCTGGTCAGCGCACCCCTGGGTTTTTAGTTTTAGTCCTATTCTTATCATGAGCCCTTCTCTGGGCTCTGGAGTCACTCTGCCCAAATTGGCATCCCAGATCCATTTTCAATTTTCAACAGGCAAGTAAATCCACATCTTTAAACCTTCATGTACTTCTCTGTGAAATGAGGATAGTAATAGTGCCTACCAAAGGATTACTGTGAAAACAGAGTGGAATGATCCATGGGAAGCACTTGGCATGACTTCCGGTGCATAGCCAGTACCCAATAAATAATGTCCTTGCCCTAGGATGCAAAAGAAAAAAAAATCACTGCATTTTCTGTCTTTGGGGTGGTGGAGATTAAATTGGAAAACACATCTACAGAGAATAAATAAATAATTTTCTTATAATGTTATTCATACTGTGGCCCATGTGCTCATTTAACACTCTCTAGCCCCTAGATACGATCTTCACTTCAGGTCATTTATATACATCCATGGGGCTTATGAAGCCAAGCAAAAAGCCCATTGAATGTAGGAAATGTTTTGACCTGGCTTGGATATCATAGCAACTCTTTCTTCATGATCCATCTTCACCAAATACGAAATCCTACTAGAATTGGACTTGATTGACCTCACAGAAGTGGTGTATGCATGGGAGCTACATTCCCTGCCTGGTTGTGGAAGTTTTCCAGAATAGTCCATGTTTTATTAAATGGATAGGGAAGCAGGCAGCTGAGGATATGATAAGGAAAGTAGCTAGGCTTTAACAGAGATTGTTCCCTTTAGAATTATAAAGTCAGGCTGGAAAGACTATTTGGTCCAAGGTCCTGAAACTGTGGCGCAAATTTCCATCCTCAGTGCCAACACTTGATCCAGAGAATTTGGGGCTGAGGCGGCAGAGCTTCCATATTGCTGAAAGGCTTGTTCCTCCATCTGATGCTCCTCTAAATCTTTTAAAATTTTATTCTGTTGAGCTTAGTCTAAATAACCTTATTTTCCACCCATCCTTTGGAGCTGTGCTTCCTGACGTATCTAAACCAGAGCTTCTATTGGGAAACATATCTGCCTGTCTTTGATGCTTAGCCAAACTTTTCTCATAATATTTTTAGTTCCTATAATCTTTCTTCTTTCTTTCCTTCCTTCAGTTTCCCTTAGCTTTTATTCTCTTTCTGGAGACTCAGCTAATCAAGAAGAAATTGATTCCATTTATTAATTCTTGTCTTTCCCCTTTATGGCCCTACCCCCCCACACACACACACAAATTCTAGTGGAATTGTTATTTCTCTTTTCCTCAGAAGATATTTTTATTAACACTCCAGCAGCAAACTTCCACACCCATGTGGGAGTATATCTGAGGTCTGTGGTGCAAAGGAGAGAAAAACTTTGGAGAGAGATTTTGAAAAGATTCCTGAACTATGATGCAAATTCGAGGACCAATGATTTAGACCACATGTGCTGAATATACACCAATCGTGGGCCAAGGATGTGAGATGATCGGGTCCTGTCTGATCCAGGATGTAGATGAGTCCTATTTCTTCATTTCCAACCCAAACATACTCACCTGGAAGCTCCACAGATAGCTCTGGGTCACTGTGTTTAAGTCCAGATTCTTTCTCTTCCCTCATCTCCATCAGAACAACAACAACAACAAAAATGACTGCTTCTTTGGAATTTTCCATCACTAGATGCCTGAGCCAAACCTGGGACAAAGGATCAGTAAGTATTCTGTGCTGAGTCAAACCAGAGTCCAAAGGAAAATCAGGACCATGGATCCTATCTTTATTGAAAGTATTGACATTGGTTTGGAATGTAGTTCCGTGGTGGAGTGCTTGCCTAGGTTGTGTGAGGGAAGGGCGGTTCCATCCCCAGCTCCGGTAGGAAAGAGGGAAAGAAGGAAGGAAGGAAGAGAGGAAGGAAAAGGGAAGGGAAGAAAAGGAAGGAGATGTTAAAAATGTTATCATTCTGTTCATCTTGGATAATCCCCCCGCCCTAATGAGGACGGAATCCAAGGGTGCTCTACCACTGAGCCACACCCCCCCATACTTCTTTCTTTCTTTTTTGAGACAGGGTCTCACTAAGTTGCCCAAGCTAATTTGGAACTTGTGATCCTCCTGTCTCAGCCGCCGGAGCTGCTAGAATTACAGGTTATGCCACTACATCCAAAGGATTTTTTTTTTTTTAAATGAGATGAGGTCTCAGTATGTTGCCAGGGCCTGCCCAGCCCCTGAATTCCAAAGTTCAAGCGATCCTCCCTTCTCAACCTCCATAACAGTGGATCTAGAGGAATATATCACCAGGCCCAGCTTCATTGTGGATTTTCTTGGTATTTGTATTTTTAAAAAATATTATATTAAAATGCTGTTTATTAATTTATTAGATGTATAAATATTTATTAAATAATATTTATCATGACTACTGAGGTGTTTTTTACTGTGTTTTTTTATTATGTCTCCTTAAATTTTTAGTTTGAGTCCGTATCTCCCTTGTTTCACCATAATCCCAGTCCTGGAGCACTCTCTGTTTGTTGACATTCCTGTAAAGACAGGGAGACATTTTACCATAGTGTTTAAAAAAAGAGACCTGGGGTCATTCTGCCTAGGTTCAAAGCCCAGCCCCACTACCATGTGAACTTTGGATGCCAAGGACGCTTCCCTTATAAACCTACTGGGGGATTCTATGCAATTTGACCATAAACACTCCGTACAGTACTTGGTAAAATGTGTTTGGTATTGTTGTCATTATAACCAGACTCCCCTGACTAGTGCTCTCTAGCCAGTCAGGGTGGCACATGCCTGTAATCCCAGTGGCTTGGGAGACTGAAGCAGGAGGAGTTCAAAGCCAGCCTCAGCAATTTAGCGAGGCCCTAAGCAACTTAGTGAGACCCTGTCTTTAAATAAAATATTAAAAAAGGCTGGGGGGCTGTGACTGTGGCTCAGTGGTAGAGTGCTTGCCACTCATGTGTGAGGCACTGGCTTGGATTCTCAGCACTGCATATAAATAAATGATTAAAATAAAGGTCCATCAACAACTAAAAAAAATATTTTTAAAAAATGGCTGGGGGTGCTGGGGATGTGGCTCAAGCAGTAGCACGCTTGCCTGGCATGCATGGGGCGCTGGGTTTGATCCTCAACACCACATTAAATAAAAAATAAAGACATTGTGTCCACCTAAAAATAAAAAATAAATATTAAAAAAAATGGCTGGGGATGTGGCTCAGTGGTGAAGTACCTCTGGGTTCAACTCTTGGTTCCAAAAACAAAGCAAAACTGTCCTTTCATCAGAAAACATCCCACAACTGGGGTTTCAAAGACACTAGACTGACCCAAACTCCACCAGTTTGTCTCCAGTTCTTAGCAAATCCTGCTCCTTTCAGAGGAGGAAAAGGATCTGACTGCAGAGCTAAACAGGCAAACAAACCAACACCAACATCCTCCTGGTGGCCCAGAGCCTGCAGTCAATGTCCCCACTCTTTCCATGAAATAAAGCTGCTAAACACCCCAGGCATGTGAAGCATTGAAATGAATATCTCGGCTGCTCCCTGTTAGAGGCCGGGACCACATAACTGAGCAAAAGACCTTGAGCCCTTAAGTGCCATGACCTAGACACACTCGGCTGTATTTTTAGCCTCTTGTGCACTGTTTCCATCACCTGTGATGGGCTTTAAACTGGAAAAGAGAAGATGGGGGTGGGGAAGGCTGGAGGGACGCTTCTTAGAGCAGCCAGAGGGGGCAGGAGCTCGCACACTTTCTGAGTTCTGTTGGACACAGGACCACTTTCATGGGTTGTCGCAACACAGGCTCTATGCTTGGAAGGGCCCTATGCTTGCTTTAATGCTCTGCTGTACCAAAGTTGGAACAAAGGACCCCGCATTTTAATTTCTCATGGAGCCATGCAAATCATATAGCTGGTCCTGGTTGTACCCAAAGGAGAGGAAGACAAGTCACTGATGGGGGCCGGTGCCAGCCCAGCAGTGGGAGCCTTCCTCCAGGGGAAAGGGCAGTCGAAAGGTACCATCAGGAGGCATGGATGGCCAAATAAACCTTGTTTCTACCTCTTACGTGCCTCTTCCGATTTTCCTCCTCTGACAGGTGGGATGTGGAGGATGTGTCCCTGGGATGGAGTGTGTCTGGGGCGTGGGGCGGGTTCGCATACTCCAATAAGGAGCCCAGAGGATTCTTGAACTAGGAATGACAGGGAAAACAAAAACCTGAACAAGATTTTTCTTGCCGCAGCGTGTGGGTGGAGAGGGACACTGGCTGAGAGGCCTCGTGGGAGGTAGCTGCGCCTTTGGGGTCCAGCCTTGGGGGCGCGGTGTGTGCGTGTGGGACCAAGGTGGTTGCGGGGAACGTGGGTTCTGGGAGTGGGCGACCCGGAGCAGGGGCCGGTGTACGGGATCCCTTGGGGCCGGTACCGCCCAGCCCCTGGGCGCTTCGAGTCTGCACAGGAGAATAAATGTTCCCGCCGCCGCGCGGGGCGCAGGTCTGCACTTGCAAGTCCGGGACCAGGGACTTGAAAGCGCCGGGCGCGCCGCCTGGACCTGTCCCACCGGGCGTCGCCGTGGCGTTTTAGGAGGGAGCGGTAGGAAAATCCCCTTCGCCTGGGGGAGTGCGGGGGAGGAAACAGGCCTACCACCGAACTGGGTGCGGCTGGGGAAGACCTTAGGGGGCAAAGGGCCTGCCACGCAGGGGCTAAGAGTTTAAGAAAAGCACGAGCCCTCTGTGCCCTAGTGTCTCAATCTGCAAAATAAGCAGCACGGTCCCATCCACTTTTGGACTCTGCTTTGGGTGATTTACTTGCTTTCTATTTTGCAAATGGCAGAGGCTCAGGTCAGGAAACTTGCCCTAATTGACATAGTGCGTGATAGGATTTTGATCCAGAGCTCACTATGCCGCCTCCTTTGTAGCTAGACTTGACTTGGAGAAAGAAACTCCACATTTACCGAGTCCCTACTGGGCGTGCATGAATGTTTGCATGCATTATCTCATTTAGTACAATCACTTTGGGGAGTAGTTGCTTATCATCACTCCCATTAAACAGAAAAGAAAATTTGAGATGAGAGTTATATTTCCTTCACGCCTGTCCAAGATCTTACAGGTGACTGAGTCAAACATCACAGGCTGACTCCAAAGCACCCTTTAGTTAACCACTACGATAAGCCAAGCAGGAGAAAGAGGTTTGCAAACTGCCGTTCTGATTATTACCGCTGTGGTTGATCCCGCGTGGGTCACGACCCGAGTGAGGGTGGAGCAGGGATCTCAGAGCGCCCGACCCGCTTCAGCCGGGTCAAACATCCGCTAGGGGACTCAGAGGCAGGGCCCTGACCCCGCCCCTCACCTCCCGGCCCCACCCCTTGGTCGGTCAAACAGGTTGCACGGTGGGGCGGGTCCAGGTGAAGAAAGGTGGGCTTGGCCCATAGTGTGAGTGGCAGGCGCGGGGCGGGACGTGCGTGCGCCGTCGGCTCCGCCCCTCGGGCCTCGCCGCGGAGCCAGGCGGGCCCCGGGCGGCTGGGGCGGTGGCGGCGCTGGGGAGGGCGGGTCGGGGCGGGGCAGCCGGCGGCCGGGGCGGGGCCACACTCGGGCCCCGCGTCCGGCTCCCATGGCCGCCCCCGGCTCCCGGCGCTGCCCCCTCTCCCCCGGGCCGCGCCCCGGGGCCCCGCACTGACGGCCCATGGCGCCGCCCGCCGCCCGCCTCGCCCTGCTCTCCGCCGCGGCGCTCACGCTGGCGGCCCGGCCCGCGCCCAGCCCCGGCCTCGGCTCTGGACCCGGTGAGTGAGCGACCCCCGGCATCTGCCCGGTGTGGAGCCCGCCCGAGGGGCGACTCGGGCCTGCGGGTCTATGGGGCCCACTCTCTCCCTCGCGGGTGCCTCCCGGGAGCACTTCTCCAGGCTCCTCAGCGACGCCCCCAGGCCCGGACGTCCTCTCCTCCTCAGTGCCTCCCGGACCCCTTCGCCAGGCTCCTCAGTGACGCCCCCGGAGGAGACGTTTCCTCTGCCTCGCAGCTTGGGACCCGCTCCCCAATCCCTTCAACGATTACCCCTGCGCTCGGGATCCAGTCCCCAAGTCTCGGCGACGTCCCCGGGCCGGGACGGCTGCCCCTCCTCGAGGCGCTGCACCCCTTCCCCAGGACCCTCAGGAACACTACCCGGGGCCAGGATCCCCTCCCCGAGCCTAACTACGACGCTCCCTTGTCCCCCTTTCCTCCCCTCCAGCTTACACCGGTGTATCCCGGCGCCTCTCCGCGCACGAGCGGGTGCGGAGGCGGGAGGAGCGGGCGCCGAGCTCCTCTGCCCGTGTCCCAGCTGTCCCAGCTTAGGCGACACTAACTTCAGCCTCGAGAGCTGGTTTCGCGTTGACTAACCTGCCCTCCTAGAGGCAGGTCCGGGTCCCGGGAGTATCCCCTGTTCCCAACCAGGACACCCCCTGCTTCCTTCGCCCCTGGGGCCCCGCTTTGAACTTCCCCAGGACTCAGGTGACTTCCGATCAGTGAGAGAAAAGGAGAAACAAGTGATGGAAAACTTCTCCCTAAAGAACCTAGGGTGCTTCTCCTAAGGGTGTGCAATGATGAGTCCACCTCTTGGGTAACCCCATAGTTTAAACAGGTTACCTGCTCCCCAAGCCAAGGCAAGGTCTTCCTGAGGTGGGTCCCTGAATCAGGACGGAAACTGGGACTTTGCTTAGCTTCCATACACACCCTTCCTTGTAGCAGAATCCTTTCCAAGTTGAGCAGGCAGGAGGATGTTGGCTGGCTCAGGTTGTTTGGGTGTTGAGCATAGGACATTTGTGAAAGGGAAGGGAAGAGTTCATTATCAGTCTGCCTGAGTAGGGAAACCGGTCTCTGGTTCTTCATCCAAAATTTCAAGCTGTGATATTTGAAAAAGAATATTTTGCTGGTGGAAGATAACTCCAAGTTCCTTTGTTTACTCAACTTGGATTACTGAAAATCTAGGACTTAGTGTTGTCACTTACTGTAGTTACTTTGGGCCATGCTTTTGGTTTTCTGAGCCTTACATTCCTCATTTGTAAAGGGGGTGAATGGTGATAATTCCCTTGCAGGGTATTGTGAAGATTAAATGATATACTGTAGGTAACACCCACATACAGATGGCAGTCAATAAACATTTTAATAATACTTTTTATAATGCTTCACAGTTCACCAAGTGAACTTCACAGTTCACCTCATTTACCCTGGGAATGCTTGTGAGCTTCCTATCTTATGAATCCCTGTAAAAGGCAAAGTTTGTCTTTAGATCAGTACAAGGGTCTCTGAGAGCTGTAAACCTGAGGCTCAGTAAGTGGTTTCAGAGTGATTGCTGCTTTCTATGGGACTTCTACAATCTGATCACTTCTAGTGTTTGCTTTATGTGAGGAGTGAGGGAGGGACATTCTGAGAGCCAGGATATGTCAACATAACTGTAACCTAGTAACCCCTTAGCTCCACTTTGCCATCTGTGTGTTCAGGATTTAATGTCCTCTACAGAGAGAGAGAGAGAGAGAGAGAGAGAGAGAGGGAGAGAGAGGTATGGGTGGAAATAGACTGGTTCCTCTTCTGGAAAGGGCAGAGTAATGGCTCTGGAAAGTGTAAAGTGAGCCAATTCTCTTATGCTTGTTGCAAGGTGAATCTCCCTGGGTACCTTTGCTTTGCTAGGTCAAATGAAGCAACTCTTACATAGTTTAAACCCCCATCCTGTTATGCTTTTATTAGGAGTCTGGGGTAAAGGCAAGTAAATGCCATTGTGAAACAAGTTGTGATAAGAGGCCCAGGTTTTCAATTCAGAATCTCACCATCTTGGTTTCTTACCATTCTGATTCATGAGTGCTTTTGTGACCTTTCCTCTCCAGTTCCAGAAGCAGTTTTAGAGATATACCACATAGTCTTCAGCATCACATCCCGTCAAAAGCCTACCCACTAGTTTTTTAAATCCTTTCCAATAAAAAACACGTTTTACACTGAGGATATGCCAAGACTGCCATTTCATATTTTGTGATACTGTAATTTTCTCTAAAATTTTGTGGATGGAAAAAATTATTCCAATAGTTATATTCTGCACAATTTTGTAATATTTAAATTACTGGTGGTTTGCATTTTTGAATGCTGACTTTATAAAAACAGTTAGCTCATTCCCCATCAATGCTACTTCTAATTACAGTGTGTAGGCAACCCCAAATGATCTCCCTTCTCTCCATTCTTCCTTTGAGATTCTCTTTCTTCCTTCACACTTATAAGAAGTACAGTAGAGGTTAATGGTAGGATCTAGACTGTCCTCTAAAGGAGGAAGGCAGCCAAGACCAGGGGACCAATGGGCTTCTTGTACTGGGCTCCCCTCGGGAATTTACTGACATTTAATGGAGAGTGATAAGTTTTGGTGATCTTGCTACTTGAGTTCTTTGTATAAGGCACACTTTCATGGGTGTTTTACCACACTGGGAGCTATTAGGTCTATATCAACAGAGCTCCTCTTAGATTAAGATTACCTTTTATAAGTATGTACATTGATGTTCATTCCTCTCTAACTCTTCAACTGGCCTGCAGTATGTCTGGCCATAAAACCTATGATATTTAACAGAGAAAGCTTCATACTCTCTGTAAAGTCCAGTCCCACTCAAGGACTTCATTAGTGCTAACAGAATTACCTTTGCACGACATGGTGTCTGAAGTAGAGGGGCTGGGGTGGTGGCTCAGTGGTAGAACACTTGCCTAGCATGTGTGAGGCACTGGGTTCAATTCCCAGCACCACATATAAATGAATGAAATAAAAAGGTCCATCGATATCTTAAAAAAAAAAACACACAAATACTTAAAAAAAAAAAAAAAGAGTGGAGCAGAGCAAAAATGCATATCAGTTACTTGTGTGCTCTGAGTATTTTAAGATACACCATGACACCAGAGATCTCTGACCCTTTTGTGAAAATTTGTTTTGGCCCTTAGATAACTTACATGTTTGACCTATGAAATGAACCCTTTTATAAATCTTAAAACAAAAAAGCATTTCATTTAGGCTCATTGCCAATCAACAGTGAGTTGGTCCACTCAATCTAGATATTATTGATACACTCATGGTTCAGTATAGTTGGACCAAAAGTAATAAATGATTAAGGTAGAATAGATTGCTTTAAGTAGCTTCATGATCTCCAGATTAGGGATTTATTTTATTTTACTTTATTTTTTGTACCTGAAATTGAACTTAGGGTGCTCTACCTCAAAGCCATATCACTAGCCCCTTTTCCTTTTTTTTTAGTTGTAGATGGACACAATATTTATTTATTTTTATGTGGTGCTGAAGATTGAACCCAGTGCCTCATACATGCCTGGCAAGTGCTCCACCACTGAGCCACACCTCCAGGCCCCTTTTCCCTTTTTATTTTGAGACAGGGTCTCACTAAATTATGCAGGCAGGCCTCAAATTTTCTAAACTTCTGCCTCAGCCTCCTAAGTCACTGGGATTATAGGCATGTGCCACCACACCCAGGTAGATTAGGGATTTTGATATATCATCTTCAGTTTAGAATTTTTGGCTTGGAATGCCACCTGAGGCTCTAGGTCAGATGTAGGCAGACATTTTTGTAAACAGCAAGACAGTAAAGTATTTGGGTTTGGACCACATACTGTCTCTGTTGCAGTTACCCAACTTTGACTTTGTAGGGCAAAAGCAGCCATAAACAGAATGCAAATGAACAGGCCTGATTGTATTCTAATAAAACTATATATATTTAAATATATATATATATGTGTGTGTGTGTGTGTGTGTGTGTATGTATTTTTTTTCAGTACTGGGGAATGAACCAATGAATTTTCTACCATTGAGCGATAGCCCCAACATCCTTTTATATTTTACTTTGAGACACAGTCTTCCTATGTTGCCCAGGCTAGCTTTGAACTTGCTGATCCTCCTGCCTCAGCCTCCCAAGTAGCAGGGATCACAGGCATGTATCATTGTGTCTGCATTCATATAATTTTTTATATGTCACAGAATATTACCTTTTGATTTTTATTTTCAAAATGTAAAACCCAGTCTTAGCTTGTGGGCCATATAGAAACAGGCAGTGGGCCAGATTTGTCCTTTAGGCTATAGTTTACCAAGTCCTGCTCTAGGTCCATGTGTACTGATTTTTTTCGGCATGCATTGGTCTGGAAAAGGTTACTAGGAGGCTTGATTTTGGTAGTGGATAAGCTTTGTACCATTTACTGTTGGCTAACCTTAAGATACATGTAGATCCAGGTGTAGTGATCCAGGTATAGTAGTTCCACTTACTCAAGAGACTGACAGGAAGGTGGCTTGAGCCCAGGAGTTTGAGGCCAGCCTAAGCAACATAATGAGACTCTTAAAAAGGAGAAGAAAGGGGCTGGGATGTTGGCTCAGTGGTAGAGCACTTGCCTAGCATGTGTGAGGCACTGGGTTCGATTCTCAGCGCCGCATATAAATAAATAAATAAAATAAAGGTCCATTGACAATAAAAAAGGAGAAGAAAAAGCCGAGCCTGGTGTGCATCCCTGTTATCCTAGCAGCTCGGGAGGCTGAAACAGGAGGATTGCAAGTTCAAAGCCAGCCTCAGCAAAAGCAAGGGGCTAAGCAACTCAGTGAGACTCTGTCTCAAAATAAAAAAATAGGGCTGGGGATGTGGCTCAGTGGTCAAGTGCCCAAGTTCAATCTCCAGTACCCCCCAAAAAAATT